TTTCCAACTGGGCAGGTGGAACATTTTTAGTTGCTTTTACCAGTACTGTATCATCTGATAATCAGTTTGCTAACGGTTTTGAATTTCATTTTGCTTCGTAAAGCGAATAGTAACAGTTCAACTTCTTCCTGACAGAATTACCTTGGCAAAGCTACTGGAGCTGGTTTCGGTTGATCCAGTTAACTTTATTAAAAAAAATCCAAAATTTAATAATAAGTTCCAAAATGCCAAAGATTAGACACGATCTTGCCTAGCAGTGCCGATCACTTCTTACCGCTCACAAACTAATCTCCACTCTGGGACTGCACATTTGTACATACAAGGATTGCCAGAGCCTCAACCCAACATCCACACATCAACAGGGATCCAATGGGATTCCGCTCTGACGGCATTACGGTAACATTAGGGATGATAAAAAAAAAAGTAAATTTAAACTGGCAGAGCCATCATTTCAGTTGTCAAATTTTGACAAGGAAAATGGATTTGAGAAGAGATCGAATATACTTTTAATGAGAATCAGTCTGTAATCTACTCACAGAAATTTCAATTTTTGTAAGCAGTGGAGAAGAATAGCAAGCCTTATTCAGAAATTTCTTAAAAGAGACAGTTTAAAAAATTTCCTTATAATTCCTGAATGATTTATAGCTCTTTCGTTAGCAGCTGAAGGTTACCAGTGCGAAAAACTGTTTTCAGCTATATCTCATTTCAGTGGCTTATATCAATAGTGGCATCAGTGTCCGGAATATGGGTGCCCTCGTTTTATTACGAAATGTTACTACTAGTGCTACTGTACTGTGCTTCGTCTACTGTGAGTTTAAATTGCATCTGGAAAATGCTGGAAACTAGAGATTAATTTAGATGTACAGCCTTCATATGTTTAAAAATAAACACGCAGTTGATGTAATGGTCAAAATGTGAAACAGTGAAAATAGGAGGGCCAGCTCTTGGCCCACACATTTTTTGCAAAAGTAGCCCTGATCGCGATAGATACATTTTATTCTACTCATTATGTACTTTGCATATTGCAAACGCTAAAGAAGTTGCCTACATATATATATATATATATATATATATATAGTCTCTATATATATATATGTCTATATATATATATATATATGTCTTGTATTCGCATTTTATCATCCACTTCGACGCAGCAACCAGAGAACCTAGAAAGTTGAAATTTCTGTAGCATATTGCCTACCGCTTTGCTAGCTTCATCAGTGCAGCTAACAAACTGCCTTATTCGTTTCTAACCCCAAGCAGGAAATCGTGTGGTTCTTTATCTGATATAAAGTCCAAATGCACGCAAAAGAATTGATTGCTAACTTTCAGATGTTTGCAATTTTACCGTGTGTGGCGCGTAAATTATTGGCATATAAAATGCGAAAATACAGGCATTCAACGAAATTTTCATTAAGCGAACGTTATCAGTTATCAGAGAACGTGAAGAGTGCGAATGCACTCAGCCAAATGGTCCTAGTGATCTCCTGCACGGAGATTATATCGATTTTTTTGGTGACCTTTGCTTATAAGCTATTCAAGGACCACGCACCATCGTTTATCATTTGTCGCTCATCTTATTACAGTTTATCTGCTATACAGGCAAGGATTTTCATTATTTTCGAAAAAACCACTGAAAGTACCGTACAGCAAGGATGCTGTAAAGTCTATGGAATGAAAACATTCCGCGTTTTTTTCTGTTGGCCAGACTGCAATTTGTGCATATAATCAACAAAGAAAATCAAAATACGGACAAATTTTTTCAAGGTATTCACAATTAGCACGGTAGAAATTTTCGAGGTCGTAAGTGACGCTACTGAAAAATTTTCTGGTAAGAGAAGTTGCCGAACATTTTCCAGAAGCTGGGCCTTCTCCGTTCTCTGGCCTCTTAATAATAAAAGAGCTGATGAGATATTGCCTTTGGAATCTGACCGAATACTTTTTATTTCTCTAGTTCTTTTTGCCATTGATGTAGCTGGAAATTCCTCTGTTCTTTTCTGTTAGATACAAAAAAAAACTCAAAATACAAGTTGAAGCAGATCCTTCTGCCCCATCGAGGGCCAGGCATTTGTTGGAGCCTTGGTCTCTTTATAAATGATACAGGTCCTTCTTAACGAATTATTGGATGAAATAGAGACGAAGAAATGTTGCTAGCACCTGGAAAAAATGAAAGGATGTATCATTATTAAGAACATCAAAATGGCCTCGCAAGTGGATAGTTGAGGGAGGGTATGTTAATAATGTTACTGGGAGCTTCCATGTGCTGGACGCAGTTATACCAGGGAATATGACTTTTGCGGTCCTCTGTATAGTCTGTAAAATCAATTATCAACAATTTTCATTGGCTGGTAGCCAAAGCACACTTTTGTTTTCAGGCAATAGTTGTGTCGTGTATGTTGAAATCGCCATGGCGATGGCTACATAATTTACGCAAAACATCGTGCAAGAAGCGTTCGGCCGATGTCCACGCAGCCAACGTGCTGCAGCAACGGAAAGCCGTCACAATAACGCCTCAGGAAGAGCAGAAAATGTATTTTGACAATCTCAGCAAAGTTTGGGATGGCACATCTAGAAAATTTTGAATCTTGATTGTTCAGTTATTCACGCATTTAATTTTCATTAAAAATGTGGCTGACAGTCCTCTTACCGTATAGTTACTGTAAGTGCAGAGCTACCATTCGAACTGCTTCAGGATACCTCTGCCTTTCAAAAGAACTGAAAGAGGTGGTCTCGGGGGAAAGGGAGAAGAAGAGAAAGGTGGTTCCAGTTGATTTTTGGACTGAATATTGATGTGTACTGGTTTCATGTACATACTCGAGTTGTTAATGAATCGCCGAATAGAAATAACTCCTACACTATTTCCTCCGTAGTCTTGGAATTTTTCGCATAATCCCATTTATTACATATGTAAGTAGGCGAATATATGAATCCAAAATGCAAATTGATCAACTAAAGCATGCATGCAATGTAGGACACACAATGATTTCTATAAAATGGAATATTTTTTGAACTCACTCTACTTCATACTTTTTTTAAATTGCTGAACGGTTAAATACGCATTGAAGCAATACTTCGGCACTAGTAAGCGTCGTTTTAGCGCAAAAA